ATAGATAGATAGATAGATAGATAGATAGATAGATAGATAGATAGATAAATAGATAGAAGTATATGTACACAAGCACGTGCGTGCCTATGCTTGAGCATACACACACACACACACACACACACACAGACACACACACACACACACTCAGCCTAAAGATTTGGCCTCTGAAATCAACAATCTCAGAGCTTGAGTGATGCCCAGCTAGCTCTCCTCATCATTTTCTTCATCAGTTCTCTCTTACTATTTGTTTGGTTTTGGGGTTTTGGATTTGCTTTTGGTTTTGGTTCAGAGACAGGGAATAGGCAAGTCCTACAAGTTGAGTGGATGCAAACTGCTGCACTAGGCAGAGAACTTTTGCTCTGGGTGCTGCTGGAAGAAGGATGTAAGAGTGTTTGCTCATGAAATCAGTGGTCTGCCACCAGATATGACAGTTTAGAATGTTTGAGTTGAACTGAGAAGGGGAGATACTTGTTTATCAACAGCTGTCAAACCCAAACTGTCTTCTAAACCCATGATCCTCTTACCTCAACCTCTCTGCTTTGAAGATGGCATGCATGTGCCACCATGTACATTTCTTTTGCCCACTGGCCCTTTGTCTCCTCACAACTAATGTGCCTGAACCTTTTGCTTCTTGGTTTTGCTCTTTGCATAAGGTCTTGCTACTGCCCTCAGATAGAATCAATCAAGCTGAGAACAGCACTCACACCCCTCTTAGACATTTGTCTCTAGGCTTCATTTGTCTCTTTCCTAGCTAGCCTTCAGAACACCAGGCAGGTCGGTTCATCCAGCTCAAAATCTTTAGTAAACTAAGAATGCTCTTCAGAATCTAGTTTCTGATAGCCTCTTCAAACACATGGCCTGCCATGTCACCTATGCAAAGCTAACATCTGGTTTCAATGAGCTATCCTTAATTTTTATATTATATAAGAGAAAGAAAAACACAGGTAGACTTAGAATCAGGAAGTTTGCCTTGACACTAGCTTCTCCCAAATTCTGTGACGTTTACTCCTCTTGTAGCACACTTTTGCACAACAGATCAGGGGCTATGATGCTTAGGGTCAGCCATGTCTTCTTGTGTATCTCATTGCCTAACACTGCATTCACTTAACAGTTGAAGCTAGTGCCTAAGTAGAAGGTAAAGTCAGTAACATCACTCATCGTGATCTCCTTGTCAACCACCACACAACTCTTAGGAAAAATTGTGACTAGTAATATATTTTGGAACCAAACTTGGATTCCAGCTCACTCAATGCACTAAGCCACAATTTCCTGCTTTGTGGTCTGAGGATGATAAATTTATCAACTTACTGCATTTAAAACAATAGGAAGAGTCTAAATGCCTGGGTGGAGCATAGAACCTGGGTATTGGAAACACATTTTAGAAGATAGGTTCTCATCCCAATTCCTGCCTACAGCTCTCAGAGCAGACTGCTGCTCCACAGTAGATGGTAATAAAAATGGATTACTGTACTGCACAGAAAATGAAAACTGAGATTAAAGGAGACTCTTTTAGGAAAATTTTCTGGTCTCAAAAGACATTTTAAGCAGTCTTACTTTTAAATATGTAAATGTCTCTAGAAAGAATCAGGTATGAATTGAAGTCCAAAATCATATACCAGGATCATGGCACACATGTCTGTAACCCCTGTGTGTCCCTGCAGGGAAGTGGGAGACAGAAACAAGCAGAGACATAGAATTCCAAAAGTTCATGGCCCACCTCATTTGACATAAACAGCAGTGAAAAGCAGGAGCGACTCAGTCTCAAACAAGGTTTGAACACTGGAATCTAAGTTTGGTTCTAAAATACATTACTAGTCACCATTTTTCCTAAAAAGTTAGGTGGTGACAATGAGATCATGAAGTATGAGGGATATTGTCTGATTTTACACACTACCTAAACTTACCCTAAGGTTATACTGATTTCCACTTATGTGCTATGGCACACATGTTCCTGAATACACAGAGAGGGGGGGGGGAGGGAGAGAGAGGGAGAGAGAGGGAGAGAGAGAGAGAGAAAGGGGGAGGGAAGAAACAATACTAAAAAGTAGTTACTAGGAGTGATCATATCACACTCACTTTATGCACAGCCATGTGGTCTGGGTTCCATGGTTGGCATGACTGATCTGTCATAGACATCCATGCCTATACTAAGCTGCAGATTGTTTTCACTTGATAGTAGCATAAATATGAACAGAAGCAACTTTCAATGAAGAGGTTAGTTCTTGTATTTTATATCACAAATCTGAGCAAGGCTTATAAAATGAGTCAACAGAGGGCGTTTTGGAAACAGATTGTCATGGGGTCAAATGTTGGCTCCACACATATATCACTGTGGCCTCAAGATGGGCTCCTTGTGTTGTAGACACAGTTTGCAGCATTAATAATCTGGGAGGACAAAGGAGACAGCCTGTGCTAATCAGCATGACCATTCTCATACCACAGGTGCATAATTCTGCTTACAAAGGCCACCAGATGTCTTTCTTTCAACATTTGCCCAAATTAAAGTGAGAAGAGATTTCTTTGAAACATATCTTAGGTCATTGTAATATTATCTGTGTTGCCAGTTTGGATTTGCATGTGGACCAAGGAAAACAGTTTATAGTGAATCATTCCCTGGTTCAGCTTTGCAACAGTATTGGCCATCTAGAACAGGGAAATGTATATATTCAAGTGTTACAATTTATGGTGTTCAGTTGCAAAAGTGAAACCCATTTTCTAGTATCAGGGAATTTGGCTTGTGTTGTCAGAATTTAAAAACTCCCAACGACCTGCTTTCTTTTATTTTGCTGCAACTGTGTGAATCTGTTCAGTTTCATGGCCTCGCTGTCATTCAGCACTTGTGAGCCTCTGAGTAGAGTAACTACAGATAAAGCACTAAAAGTTGGGCTTTGCTGTACACAGTAATTATTCTACTCAGTATTTAGTAGTTCTATGGTTGTCGCTGAAGTGTGCAACACAAAAAAAGCAAATTAACTTTCAAGAGTGTTTGCTTCATGCATGTACTGGGAAATGTGATATTTGTAAAAGAACCTTTTGCTCTATGCATGACTATTGTCTTTTAAGTACCTTACTGCTTGTGTCCTGATGTTTCCTCCTGTTGAATTGTTTTCTTAACGGATGTCTGTGCTCTCTCCCCTCTACCACCCTGGCAGTCTTTTCCCTATAAAAGGACCCATCTGTCTAAGGTAGATTCTCCTTTTTACTTACTCATCAGTCACTAAGCTGCATGGACTAGACATGCTTAGCATGTAGAAGTTGTATTTAATTCTGTCTTTTTTTTTAACTACAGTAATATTTTGTTTTCCTTCAAATCAAATCTGTTCTCTTCAGTCTAAGTTCAAACATCTAAAATTATATCTAATTTCTAATCATAGTGATAGAGCAAAGAATGCATTTTAAACTTGCTAATCCATAGTAATTAAGGTAATAGGCAAATCCATGCTCCAGTTTATGATTCTGTGTGCCGAGAGAAAAGCTCCTTCATGGAAGTGACTTATTTTCATTTGACTTCATTAGACTTGAATTTGAGAGACAACAGCGTGAAGAACTTGAAAAACTAGAAAGTAAAAGGTAAGCATGTGAGACCCGTGTTCTCAGCCACTATAGTCTGGGTTCCTCTGTTAGCATCTTCCTGAGTTCATCTCTGTTTCTGGGCTTCCTGCCTGCTCTGGGTCTGCTGTTTCCATATCTAATGCCTCAAGGTAGTGTCTTATAAGGAATTGAGTTTACTTCATCTTTATATTTTCACAGCAGTTCATCTTCAAATACTTGTGAGAAAGGGAGAATAGTTAGTAATTAAACATCTAAGATGTGTTGAAATTTAACTCCAAATCTTTTCTTAGTGTTCCTTGGGTCTTTAAAAGTCTTGAGTCTATAAGGGTGAAAAATCAAGCCAGATATGGTTGTGCCTGTCTTAAATCCCAGCATTTGGGAGGCAAAGGCGGGCAGATCTCTGAGTTTGAGGCCAGCTTGGTCTACAGAGAGAGTTATGAGAAGATTGTCAAACAAAACAGAAAGGAAGGAAGGAAGGAAGGAAGGAAGGAAGGAAGGAAGGAAGGAAGGAAGGAAGGAAGGAAAGAAGGGAAAACCAAACCATTTTTCTCTAATAACCCATCTCTACCTTTTTAATTATGGTGGGTATATATGTACACTTACTATATGTGTGTCTAGTGCTCACAGAAAAGAGCATTGGAAGCTGTAGACCTGAGAGTAGAGTTACAAATGTTTGTACCCAGCCATATGTGTACTGAGAACTTTACCCCACTACTCTGCAAGAACAATGGTGGCTCTCAGTGCTCTCTCCTGCTGAGCTAAGCTCTCTCTTAGGGACTAAGATTTAGACTAGTGCTCTCCCACTGAGCTTCCTCCCAGATGTTTTGTTCATTTCTTTCTCTGCTTGCTTTTATACTGTGATCTAGGCTGGGCTGGGCGGCTGCATACACCTGCCAAATGCTGATATAACAGGCATACACCACCACAGCCAGCACTGCTGTCCTTTACATATCTTTACGTTTTGTACAGTTCCTGGTGTTTTTCACACCTATAATTTATTTCTCTTATTCTTTACTTACTTTCATTTGGGAATCTATCTATCTATCTATCTATCTATCTATCTATCTATCTATCTATCT